CCTAAATACTCCTGAAACATTTTGGTAACTAACCTCTGATACGTTGCACCTGCATTCTTTAGACCAAAGGGCATTACTTTATAACAATAAGTCCCACTGTCTGTTATGAGTGAAGTTTTTTCTTCATCTCCCGGATCCATTTTAATCTGATTATAACCTGAATATGCATTTAAAAAACTTAATAATTCGTGACCTGCAGTTGCATCAATCAATTGATCTATGTGTGGTAATGGAAAAGAATCTTTAGGGCAGACTTTGTTAAGATCTGTATAATCTACATAAACCCGCCACTTACCGTTTTTCTTTGGAACCACAATAATATTGGCTAACCAGTTAGGATATTTTACCTTTCGAAAAACCAATTTTTAGCAATTTTTGGACTTCTTCTTGAATCACCCGATTCTTGAAAGTTCCCTGCTTTCTTTTCTTTTGCTTCACGGGAGGATATGACGGATCTTCATTTAGTTTATAAGTCGTCACCTCTAGTGGTATTCCTGTCATGTCGGAGTGGGACCAAGCAAATCAGTCCATGTTAGTTTGCAAAAATTCAGTTAACTTACCTTTCATTCCTTGGTCAAGATTAGCTCTGACATAAACTTTTTTATCAGGCCATTGAGCGAATAACACGACAGGTTCTAATTCATCTATCGTTGTTTTGATATTTTCATTCTCCTAGTTCTTGAATGGTATCAGGCCTTAAGTCTACATCTGTTCGCCTTAAGTCTACATCTGTTCGCCCTTGTTCAATTGAGATTTGTGTTGCGATGTCCTCAACTGCCTTCGGTGATTGCTATTTGCCTTCACTTCTCGTGCTTATATCTGCAACGGAGTTAATAGCCCTGGATGTATGTTGATCTCCGTGAATTTGACAGATTCTCCATGGCGATGGAAATTTGATAACTTGATGCAAGGTTGAAGGAACAACATCCATTTCATGGATCCATGGTCTCCCCAGAATCATGTTGTAAGTCATCTCCATGTCTACTACCTGGAACTTTGTATCTTTGATGACCCCTTCAGCAAAAGTGGTGAGTGTTACCTCTCCTTTCGTGACGACACTGGAATTATCAAATCCAGATAGAGTATGCGCCTTTGGTATTACTCTATCTTCAGCTTGCATCTCACGTAGCACTCTTAGCAAAATAATGTTCACGGAACCACCTGGATCAATCAAAACTCGTTTCACATTAGTATCATGCACAATTAAATATATTACCAGCGCATTGTTATGATGGGTTAATACGCCATTTGTATCTGCATCATTTAATGTAATATTGCCTTCTTCTAAAACATGTCGCACCTGTTTCCCTTGGGTAATAGTTACTTTGGAAGTTTTGTTAGCTGCAGTATATGACACACCATTGATGTCTTCACCCCCACTTATAACGTTAACAGTTCTTTTGGGAGAAGGTGGTTTTGGAGGCTCCTACATGTTCTTCATGTAAGATTGCTTGCCTTTCTCGCTGAACAACTCAGTAAGATATCCTGTTTTAATAAATGATCAACTTCACTTTGTAAAAATCTGCAATCTGCTATTTTATGCCCGTGATCATTATGGAACTCGCACCAATGGTCAGGGTTGCGCCTGTTTGGATTCGATCTCATTTCCTTTGGCCATCGAACCTTATATCCCATGCTTTTCAAAACAGCTACGAGCTCGGAGGTGCTGACGTTGAAGTTGTAACCTCCGAATCTCGCTTTTAAATTTCTATCATCATCCCGAGACTCATAGTTGTTTCGCTCGTTCTTAAATCTTGATGAAGAACCTGATTCTCTGTTTCTTGATCTGTGATCGTGCCTTTGATTATCATGTTTTGACAGTGAGTCTTTTCCCGCAGGTCCCATATAGGGCTCATACCTGTTTTTACCGGATCTTTTTTCGGTCTCTGCACGTCTTGAACGTATACTTTCTTCTTTTTGAGATAGTGGAACAGTATCTTCCTCAATCCTCAACTTCGTGTTATACCTATTATAAACATCATTCCACGTTGTAGCTGGGAATTCTCGAAGGCTTCCTTGAGTCTCCTCGTAGCTTCCGAGCTTTTTTCATTCAAATTGCTTGTAAAAGCTATAGCTGCCCAGTTATCAGGTACACGCGGCAATGTCATTCTTTTATGTTGAAATATGTCCACGAATTCTCTAAGCAATTCTGAATCTCCTTGCTTGATTTTGAAAATATCCTCCATTCTTTTTTCCACTTTTTGGGCTCCCGAGTGTGCTTTGATGAAAGAATCTGCAAGCTCAGCAAAAGAATTTATAGAATTTTCAGGTAAAAGGGAATACCATGTTAGTGCTCCTTTGGTGAGTGTTTCACCAAATTTCTTGACTAATACCGATTCGATCTCCTACTTAGTCAAATCATTGCCTTTTACGCCCGTTGTGAATGCAGTCACGTGGTCTCGTGGGTCTGTTGTTCCATCATACTTTGGAATATCAGGCATTTTGAGCGTTTTTTGGAATTAGGAGTGGGGCAGCACTTGGCTTCCAGGGTTGTTGCAAATATCTGTCCATGTCTACCCCTTTGATTATAGGCAGCACCCCGGGTATCTGCTCTATGCGTTCACTTTGCTCCTTGAGCTGTTTCTGCAAGGTTAGTACTAAATTTTGTAAATTAGAATTAATTACATTAGCTGATTCTCTCTCTTGCTGTTTACTGGGAGTTCCACCGTTGCCTGAGTTAACAAGCCCGGAACGAGGGTTTTCTATAGTGTTATTATTTGGAGTAGGTGTGGGTGTTGCAACAGGTAACTGGTTAACAAGCGCCTCAACAGCTTTGTTGACCTGAGCAGTAATTAATTTTTGCAAAGCTTCATCAACAGCTTCAACATTTTCAAATTGAGCATACTCGTTTATTTGAGATCCATGAGGAGTACCCTCACGAGATTTCCATGGAGAGTCCTGCGGAGTAGGAACTTGAATGTTAATATTCTGTGGACCTCCCTGACTTTGTTGGTTCTCTTGGTTTCATGGGGTGTTGTCATTGTTATTCAACATAATTGATGCAACAAGGAAGGTCAAGTGAAAAGAAAATAGATTATCAGATTCCCGGTAACGGAACCAATTGTTTAACCAAAAAATAGAATTTTAGTCAAAGCTAGAATTTAGAAGAACTCGAGTTACTGATAATCAAAAGAATATGTAGAAGAAAGTAATTTGGGGTAACCAGAGTGTAATCAGGAGAAAAACAAGTGAATCAAAGTATATTCCAGTCGTATCTTGTGTTTACAAGTGACCAGATACCTCCATTTTATAAGTATCTTGAAGATATGCGTTTTCCCCAAATCATAATGAGGCTATTATGAATAATTAAAGACATTGAATGCTACGTTACACAATCATTGTAATCAATACAAATTCTCTAACGTATCCAGTATTTAATGCCTGTCGAATTCCGTATCTGCGATTATGATCAGATCCATTCTTTTTGATAAATGACTTAAATAGGTACGAGCGCTGAATCCTTCAAATGTCCTCTCGTGCCTCTTCCTTTGCCTTTGCTCGTTTCTATTGCTGCCTGTGCCTTTTGACTAATTATAATTCTTTGACTATTTGACCAGTCCACGTGTCTCAACATGTCACTTACGTATATAAATACAATTTTTCCAATACACATATACCATCTTGATTTTCAAGAATTATACCCTGCTTCTCTTTTCACCGACAAATGCATAAGAAATGAAAGACCACCAAAAATTCAATAATAATGGAGCCATGAAGTGGAAAAGATGTTGCCTTTGAAACATAAAAATAGTAGTAAGGGTAATTCTTTTGTCGTTGGCCGGTGGCGCCTGAGTTGCTGGTATATTCATAATATTAGGAGAATTAGGAGGTGTAGGACAATTAGAAGAATGAGAAGGAAGAGGAGAAATGGGGCTGACGTTTTTTAAAAAGTGGGTACAAATTAAAGCTTTTTTAAAAAATGGGTATAGGTTAAATGGGAGCGACCAAATAGGGCGCTCCGTGCAATTTTTACGAATAGTACTCTAATTTAATCTTTGTAAAAGGTTACTTAAAAATTTAAGTTACCTATTCACGCTAATATAGATAGTTACTTATAATTTTCTTTTAAATAATTTAATTGTACGAATACACTTTACACCATCATATAGGAGCTAGATTTAAACGATATTACGTACGTACCAAGTGCATTGATCTACTCCGTAATTAATCAAGCCTGAGTAATTCGGTATCTTTCGTATTGTATACTTTACCCCTGAATTCCTTGCCTCAAACACGAATACGTAGTTGAAAACACAAAGGGTAAAAGACAAAGGAAAATTAACTTTTGGGAGAAAAATAATGGACCATATATAATAAGAAACGACCGCTGCAAGTTGACACTGCTGAAATTAAAGTCTTGCAGTGGCATTCCTGGCTAGCTAAATTTTCCTCAAGAGGAGCTCTCTAGTACAATGCACTAATAGTCCGTTTGGCCAAGTTGCAAAAATTAGCTTATTTTGATAAGTGTTTTTTTTTTCAAAGTACTTTTTTCAAAAGTATTTTTGGTGAGAATCAGTTTGTGTTTGGCTAATTAGTTTGAAAAGCATTCTGAGCAGCAATTAGTGTTTGGCCAAGCTTTAAAAAACTGCTTCTAAGTGTATTTTTCTCAAAAGTGCTTCTCAAAAAAGTGTTTTTGGAGAGAAGCTACTTTTTCTGCTTCTCCAAACTTCTGCTTCTCCTCAAAAACACTTTTTTTCCTTCCAAAAGCTTGGCCAAACACCTCATTTTTTTGGTCAAAAATGCTTTTGGCCCAAAAAAACACTTTTGGCCAAAAAGAAGCTTGACCAAGCAGGCTATATAAGTTTGAGAAAAACTAGATTGAGGTAAGCTATATTTTTTCATATGATATCAATCTTCTTTTACTAGTAAATTAGCAGAATGTGTACTGATTAGTGATTAGCTAGCTTCCTTTCTGATTTTGAGCAAATTTCCTATATGTGAAATTTATAGAATTCTTGCTTTCTGCATGGTAAATTTGCATTCATGAATTTAGTTAAAAGTGAAAAGAAAAAAAAAACAAGATTGCATTTTAATTTCTCCATCCAATACATCTGACAAAGTGAGAAATTTGATGAAAGAATTAACATAAACTAGCTAGCCCCAACCGTGGGAAATATGTGCTAGAAATTGCAGCTACCAATGGCGAAGCCAGAAAATTCAATTTGAACACCCTTTGTCATTGGACTATGCAAGGGTATTCAAAGTCTATTTTTTTTAATCTAATATTTTAGTAAGTATAATTTTTCGGCGAAGAGCTTAAGTTGATCACCATTGGCCACACATTGCTTCGCCCCCGTGCAGCTACTACAACACGATTAATCCACCAAAGTATTAGCTCTATGCTTGGTTGATTTCACACGACATGTGATATTCGTTATCCAGCCCTGCAAAAGAAGAACAACTAGAACTTGATATCCAAATTTTTAGGAAGAAAAAGAAAGATTTTTTGTTTGAACTCCCTGTCACACTCCTTTTTTTACAAACTTTACTAAATCCTCTTAAAAAATAATTTTGTAAAGCTCGAAAGGGTTTTTCAATTTTGAAAGTGACAAAAATTTGTGTTCAAAAGGATTAACTCAGAGTCGCCACCTGATATTTGATTTCGGCGTGTCAGGTCACCATTTTTTCTAGAAATATATTTTTCCCTTTCAAAACACTTGAGACTCTAAAACTAAATCTGCACCAGAGACTCCCCAAGTCCCGTGAAAATCACGGTTGCATATATGATCAAGTTGGCTTTTTAGAAGATTCGAATTAAGGTAAAAGACACAGAAATGGGAAAATAAACACACAAGAGGCTCGAGGTCGTTCTCACCTAATAAAAGAAGAAATAAAAATGAAAATAAAATACTACGAGTTCTACTTTAGGTCTCCAAATACAAGTACTTCGGGGTATTCCCCGGAATAAAATATATGCAAGTCCTTCGGGGCATTCCCCGGATAAATTTAACTAAGGGAACGACCTCTTGCCTCAAAATTAACAAAAGTCCTAAAGCTTGCCTACCCAAATGATAACGCCCTATGCATGCTCCTAGCGAATAAAGTAAATAAATAAGGGAAAACTAAAGCATGTAACAATTTAATTATGTTTGGCTTTTCCCCGTTCCCACGGCCAATATTTCATTCAAGACAAATACATTGAACAAGACATGATGGGAGAATCAAGTCGATACACATACCAAAATGAATGGGAGAGAATGAATTAACTAACAAACTAAGACGAATAATGAAGTGAAATGAAACAATAAAATATGATAAGAGCCACCCAATTTTCCCTCAACCCCATCCCAAAATACGTTAAAAAGGCCACTGATTCCCATTCTTCTTATTACCTAACACTTGATAAAACTAACTAAGGGGCTAAAACAAGTTCCAACCATAGCCCCTCAGAAACACGTTAAGCTAACTGGGAATCAAAGAACCTGCCAATAATTTCACCTATGTGGATTTAACTCTCTCTAAATCTTGATTTCACTTAGCTACAACTACCATAAATTTGGGAAAAGACTACTAGGGAGCATTCTGCATTAGACTTAGTTAACATGGAAAGCTTAATGACAAGTGAACCTTCACCATAATGATGCAATTCATAAGCACAACTATGCGCTTCCCTCCACAAGTAGTAGGAAAATTATTAGAATAAGGAGAGGTTCATGGCTAAATCAATCTGCATATCTCCTGCTTAATAAGGTGAGTCATTCAGGGAGTCATCACCTAGACAGATGCCATTTGCCCTCCTTAAAACAAGAATAACAGGAATGAGCACCTCTTGCAAACCCGACAAGAAAGAAAAGAATTTCACCATGACACCTAAACTAGATTAATTTACTACTCCGACAGTCCAGGATCTGGACTGAAATTGCTAATTCACGATATGACTCAAATTTAGCAAAATCTCGTGACCGCTTCAAAACATTAAACTGAATTATCCTAAATAACAACAAGAAAGAAACATCGACGAATAACTCCAGAAGTCATGTAACGCTTAAACATCAACAAGACCGATAAGAATGATCAGACGCATGCCAAGAGAGACTCGATCAAACTAACCTTAAGCAAGGACTCTCAACGAATTTCAGAAATTGAGTAAATGAACTAATTTAACCAACAAGCAAAACTGCTTAACAGATGTTTCTATTACTCTGCTTTATACTCAAAACCAAGAAAAGCTACGAATATTCATACGCAAACACACTGCTGAACTGAAATTTAGCTTAACAGCTTCATAGTCAATCGAACGAGTTCTGACAAATACGAGACATTATTCTGCCATTTCAGATAATCACAAAACCAAGTTACATTTCAATCAAATGCTTCAATACCAAACAAATTCGGGATTGTCGACATTTAAACATAAAACAAACAGGACAGAATTGCATGCCTAGAGAAGTCATCCAGACTCATCATCAATCAGAACACAACAATATGTTTCTATTAGCACTCGAACTTAAACATCTAAGAAATTCAAACTACTTCTGATTGCTTATCCTAGGCTCTCATCATATTTTCAATAAAACACCAAAGATAGATTAAGAAAAGAGAAGGAGATTGAACCTGTTTGATCGAGGCTTTGATTAATTTCGTTTGTAAGCGATTACAAGTTAAACTTCCCGATGAAGTTTTGAAATGAAGAAGCGACACGGCAGCAGGTAGACAGGAACCGAATCAGCGACCAAAACTCGAACGACAAACTCGATTTCGGCTCAATTAATTTCCATGTCGAAAGAGCAAAATCGAAAAATGTGGAATCCAAAATTGAAGGAAGAAAGCCGAAAATCAAAGAGCACTAAACTAAACATTTTTTTTGTGTTTTCTGATTTTTTAAAATGAAAAACAGATCTCTAACCAAAATGTTCTAACTCTTTTTTGATTGTATTACTCTACTTAACGGAAAATAGAAATATGAGAAGAATCACCCCTAGAACTCTAGAACACTCTTTTTTCCAAATTTTTCTCTGATTTTCTCCCGTATCCTCTTTTTCTGCCCGAAAAATCTCCTTTTATATTCCAACCCAGAAGCTTCTAACCTCTTCTCCAAGAAAACCGATTTTTCTCCAAAATCTGAAAAAATCCCTAAAAATCCGAAAGCCTTTTTCGTGTAAACGGGTTTTAGGCAAATGGACGCTTAGGATCCAAAGATCTCGATCCTATGGCTCCCATTTAACTATCATCCATTTATGAATGGCTCGGATTCTTCAAAGAAATTGAGAAGAGCACGTGAAATGAGAAGAAAACGCGTTAAAATCAGATGTTAATGATGAGGGGGGACCATGTGAGTTAACTCGCCAGGTTGGCGAGTTTTTCCGAAAGGACGCGGCAGAGGAGTGTAAGAGAGGGCTGGGCGCTATTTTGGGTTCCTTTAGGTTTAGGGTTTGTAGGAGATAAGGATTTTTACGTGGGGTGTGGGGCATTAATCTTGACCTTAGGATTAGAGGGGTTGGATGGCCAGGATTTAAAATCAAAAACGGGGCGGGGCTGGCGGATTGGGTGCGGGTCAGCAAGCTTTAGGAGTTGGGTTGTTGATTTGGGCTTCAAAAAATGTGCGAAATTGGACAAAAAATGACTGAAAATTCAAATTAAATACCTATAAAACTCTAAATTAATTTGATAAACTATTAGTACTAAAAATTGAAGTTGGAGCTATTTTTGGTATTTTCGAGGATTATATTAGGATTAAAATAGGTTAAAAATAATATATCTTTCTAAAAATACCTAATACTGAATTAAATAGAAAGTGAAACTATTTTTGTATTTTTTTCAATTTTATGTGCCTTAAAAATAGAATTAAATTAGTAATAAAGTAAAATCCTATAGAAATAAACTCAAATAAATATCCTAAAAATACTAGGACTATTAGAGGTGATTCTAATGTGTGGGTCAAAAATTACATGTCTACACTCACTATAATGATTAGGTAGTATGGATTTGTATAGTACCTTTCCACTATTAGATCTTGGAGAATTCAAGGAAGCAAGAACTTGGTGTACTTTTTGGTCCAGTGTAGCAGCAACAACTGATTCTGTTAAAAGCAATACTTGAAATCAGTAATGGATATTAACTTTCTAGCTAGGTGAAGAACCCTAGTCACATTTATCTATCTTTATGTATTCTGATCCCCATTTTACTATCCCAACAAACGGCCATGTAACTGTTTAACCAAAAAGTGGAATTTCGGTTAAAGTCTTAACTTAGTAGAACTCGGGTTACTGATAATCAAAGAATGAATAAAGGAAAGTGATTTTGTCAATAATAAGATAATCAGAAGAAAACAAAGTAAACCAATGTATTCAAATAGTATTTTGTGTCCTTACAAATGATCCATTCTCTTTCTTTTATATCTATCTCCAAGTTATACGTTATGCCTTTGTCATAATAAGGTCATTATAGATAATTAAAGGCATTAAATGCTACGTTACATAATAATTGTGATTCAATACAGATTCCCTAACGTTTTTAGTATTTAATGCTTATTAAATATTGTATATGTACTCTCTTGTGCTGTCAGATTCATTCTCCTTGATTTTTGGATTAAATATATACGAGCGTTGAGTTTTCTGAATAACCGCTTGTGCCTCTTCATATGCCTATGCTCGTATCTGTTGCAACTCGTGCCTCTTTGCTAATCATCATCCTTTGACTAGCCTCCATGTCATGACACGTCATCTTTCAATCACTTCAATATGTAAACTCAATTTTTCTCAATATAGATAGTCCCCCCACTTGCCATTTATTCATCAATTGAATATTTGGGAAGTGGAATTCATTAAAGTGGGAATTTTTGTCACCATTAATGTTATGACAGAATTGACGCTTCAATTGTCACTTCCATTTAATGCTCTTTATACATGGTACCCTTTTACTGGTTCTGCAACTTTGCGGCACTTTTTAGGGCTTTTTTCACAGCTTCACTAATCACGAAGCGTTAGTTCTCATTATGACCTTTTCATCATTGTACATTTTCCTTTGACGGTTGCTTCTCAGTATAAATTTAGTTTTCTTCTTTGTCTTTACCACATAAAATTCTCTGAATATCCAATTCTCAAATCTTTGTTTGCTTCTTCCTCGTACTATCATGTATTTATCAAACCCTAACCCTAAAAGGGTCCCTATAGTTGATAGCTTCCCTAATGCCCCCAGTAGGAGTAGAATAGGGGGTAGGCTTCGTAATTTTGGATCTTCATCTCTGCGTGGTTCTTCTCTTCCTTCGGCTGGTTCCAGTCCTGCTTTTGAACCAGAGGTTCTTTTTCTCAAAGATCTTCTTCTAAAGGAAAAGAACCCTCTGAGCCTGTTCGTGAACCCACAGTGGATGAAATAGTTCCTGCTGAACTATCTTTCTATAATGATAGGGAGTCTTTGAGAAATCAAGTGTCCTCTTTAGATCGTGTTGATATCTATCCAACTCAGATCACAGAAGGTCTAATTTCTCTAGTTTGTAATGACTGTCATTGGAGTCATGACTTTCCTATCATTATTCTCAATCCAAATCAAAGAATCACCTCCTACATAACCAGATTTTCCTTTGTCTATACATACCCTTTCACATTAGGATTCTAACCTACTATTGATCCTGTTATTCTCGAATTTTGTCATTTCTTTAATGTTTTCTTAAGTCAAATTGGCCCAGTAGTATGGAGGGTTGTTGCCTGTTTGAGGCATTTGAGCAATATGGCCAGTGTGCCTTTTACTTTCTCTCATCTAATTCATCTTTACTCCCCCATACTCTTTCGCAATGGTGTATTTACACTAGTAGCAAGGAGCAAAAGAGTTCTGGTTAGCCCCGAAGATGACAAAGACCGTGGCTGGTATGCCAGGTTTGTTTCTGCCCCACTGTTGGTTTAGTGGGTGATGAGAACGTTCCTTTCCCTGAGAAGTGGAATTTTGCACGTGAGTCTTCTTTTCAGTAACTGTCTCATACCTTTTTCCTCAGTTTTGAAGATTATTATTCTAATTTTGCTTTTCTTTTCCAGCAATCATGGGAAGAAATTTCCAATTTCCGCGATTGGGGTAGGAAAGTTGCTGAATATAGCCCTAGTGGAGGGTAGATCTTGGAAAAATCTTTCTCACCGCTTTGGTTGGAAAGTAAAAACTCACGGTAAGGAAAAATTCTTTTACTAAGAGTTTTTATTTAACTCCTCAGTGTCTTTTTCCTGAACTGACTTTAATCCTTCTTTCTATCAGGATTTGCAGTTCGAGGGATTAGTGCCGAGGCGGTCGCGGATTCTCGTACATATTTTTTTGGAAAGGGCCCAAGAAATAATTTTGGGCTCTTCATCGAAAAGAAAAGTTGTTGATGACCAGACTCCGAAGAAAATGAAGACGGGGGTTCCTTGATAACAAGGCCACAGGCTCGTAGATGTATTATTTCCGATGATGAAGCAGAAGCATCCCCCTGCCATTCTATTCCTCTTACCGAGTCTGCTGAAGCCCCGGTAGTGATCCCTGATGATGTTGATGATGTTCCCGCTGCTACTCATGGTTTAGGTCCAATTTCTGATGAAGCACTCCTGGCTTCTTTTTCTACTCCCATTCTTGTGACTCCTTCCTTGCCGATCGTGGCTGTTTCCGTTCTTCCCCAGGCTGTTTTTACTGCTTCTACTGTTCCTTCTTCAACAATTCCCCCTCCACTCGTTCATCGTACTGAAGTTGGTTCCTCAAGTAGGAGTGGTGCTATGAAGCAAGTTACTATTAAAGTCCCCGCTGAGGGTAACCTTTTAAGGAAATCAAGTCAAGCTGACGTGTGGCTAAAGCCTTTAATTGGTCCTATTGAGAGAGCTAAGCTAGACAGTCATAGTTCTTTGACCTTGATGAATGACATAGTGCATGCTTCTTTGAAAGTATTCCTTTTTTCAAACTTTTACTTTGCCATTTTTCTATCTTCAGGATTCTCATTTCTTTCTCTTTCCCTTCTTTTTTTTAGGCCAACCTCATCGGCACGAAGATGATGAGAAGGGTTACTCTCTCAGAGCAGTTAGTGCATGATTATCAATTGGAGGTGTATAATTGAAAGGAAAAGTATGAAAGTCTTCAGATTGATGTGGAATTCTTAGAAGAAAGTAAGAGTACCTTGGAACAACAGGTGTGGGCCTTGACTTCGGAATTGACAGTTGAAAAGGCTTCCTCAAGTCAAGCAGATAAGAAGAAGGCTCGCCTTGAAACCTCTTTTTCCGAGCAGCTTTCTAAGGCAAGTGAAGAGATCAGAGAGTTGAAGGCTCTCTTGGTTGAGAAGGAAGAATATGCTGGTGCACTTGTGCAAAATTTGACCCAAACTCAGGAAGACCTTCGGGTATCTTCTGATAAGGTTTGTTCTTTAGAAAATTCTCATGCCTCTCTTCAAGCTTCTTATGAATCTGCCTTGGCTGAAAATGAAAAGTTAAAAAATGAAATTGCTGATTGGGAAAGAGACTACGAGATCCTTGAAGATAAATCTGCCATTGAAGTGAGTTGGGCATTTTTTAATTCTCGCTGCGATACCCTTGTTGAAGCTAGCCAAGAGAATTTTAACTTGGAATCTGAGTTAGCCAAGATCAAATAGACTATTGAAAAGGTTTAGCAAAACAAAGATTTTTCTTCTCCCGTAGCCGAAGCTTCGGAAAATGTTGAAATTGATACGGGTATCCCCACTCCTTCAAGCCAAGTTGAGCCCGCTGTTGTTGAGGTCCCTGCTTCAGTCCCTTCATCAAATCAATGAAAAGTTTATTTGAACTCCTTTGTGTTGTGTTTTTTTTCTCTTTTTGGTGAAATGTGGTTATAACCCTTGGTCTCATTTGAGGGTTTGTTTTGGAAACATAAGTCCCCAGACCTTTTGTGGGGCAATATTTATAAACAATTTTTGGTTTATGACTAGGTTCATACTTAGTCTAAACTTTCTAATATTAAGAAGTTTACGTTACTATTTGAACTTCTATTTTGTTTATTCTTGCCTTTATTTCTAAGGACTTACTGAATAACTTGCATTTTTATTCTTCAAAAATGCTTCTGTTAACTTCATGAATACTTAAATTAATCATGAATTTTATAAAAGAGGGCCCTTTTATATTCGACACTTAATGAGAAGACGTCTCAACTTCATAACGGTGTTAATATACGATAAAAGAAATAGGAATACACATGTTTCTTGAAATAACTTTGACAAGTTTTTATTTGAACTTTGTCTAGTTTTGAATAACACTTTACATGTATTTGAATTACATCTATAACTTTCTCGTAACTATTTTTCTTATAACAGATTTAAAAAAGAAAAATAGACACAAGGTTTTTATTTATAACCCGTTT